CGACCGCGGAAACGGGATCACGCCAAAGTGTATCACTTGGTGAAGCAGGTCAGAGAGGTGATACGTCTTCCAGGGCGGATTGACCGTGGAGACGGGATCACGCCGAAGAGTAACACTCTCGACAAAGCACCGGAAGCTTACAAAGGCTGCATACTACACTTTGATCCAGGCGAGATTTATTTTGTAAAAAATACAAAATTGTGGCACAAGGCCGAAAAGGGGGAGGGGGTAAGGCTGGTCTTCACTAACTATCTTATACCTAGCTAATTTGATTCACGACCCATTCAGACATTACAGTTTACTCATTCACCATAAGAACTCGTCCGTCACCAATCAATCCTCCTTGCACCATAATACCACATCCACTCTAGGGAGACTTACAAAACGCGCCCCATGTCATAATGATCCTAACACATATGTACAAAAATTCTAAGATGAAAAAATGAGATGGGGTGGGATGTGAACCCAATAACAAACTAAAATGTTAACTGATGTTAGTAGGACCCTTCCAACCCTCAAAATGCAGGGAGACCACTGTATTCTGCCCATTGGAACAAAATCAAGCAGCTCTCTCGCTAAGGGAGTGGGAAAGGTGATAAAAAATCATACGGGCATGGGGAAGTATAAAGCTGACCCAGTCGAGATAGAAAGTGGGGATCAAAAAACAAACTGGGAGGTTGGGAATCTCAGGCTGGATCATAACTAAAGATGTGGCCGAGGGGCAGGCCGGGAACAACACTTACTCGCATTAACTAGGTACACCCAGGGTTTGTCTAACCTAACCAAGGGAGGGCACCACAGGAAGCCACCCCGATGTAACGTAGGCTTGACCTAAAACAGAAAATCAAGGCTAGCCCCGTTCACACGAACCAAGCTCGCCTCAGTCACCCACCTTTCGCTGAAGACTGTCGAATGCAAGCGTTTGATCCAGGCCCCCGGGCCGAGCAGCTTGGATTTGGACGAAAAAAGTGGCTGACAATATTTGGAACGATTGATTCAAGTACTCCCTGGCTAGAGGGAGTAGAAAACCGTAGATATTAAATTAATATCAATGGTTGCCGATGTTTGACAGGGCGCTGCATAGTCAGATGCACACGAGGTATGGTTTGGCATCAACGATGTTGGACTAGTCGTTCGGTTTCTCGCATGTTGCTTGACTTAAATCTGCGAGATCAGGGGTTGTGAAGGTCAAGGTTGGCTTTCTAAGGAGCGGCTAATCGGCGACCGCGACACTATCTTGTTTGGGAGAACTTTGTTTCATTTCTGCATCAAAAATGCCTCTCTTTTGTACACCAAATAAATCAAATTATAAGACTGGATTAAAACAGTTAAATCAGAATTGAAATAGCAAGGAAAACTAATCTGAAAATAGTATAAAATCATTCTCCTTTTCATCTTTGTTTTCAAACTCTGTAGATTTTGTTCAGCAGTATCATTTAAAGTTGACTTCTAACAATTTTCTCTTTTTTATGATAATATTTAATGTTTTCCTTGGTTCCACCTTGATACTTGGTTTTATCTCATTTAATATTAACATAGATATCTGTAACTAATCCATATATAAATTTCTCTTCTCTCCTTATGCTAATTATTATTGACCATGGTTGACAGGAAAAGCATTTTTGCCCTCTGTCAGTATATCTGCTGATTTGTTTCTCTTTTAAATTTGTGTACTCTCATATCTTGGAGATGGAATACAATAGATGCTAAGGTATGATAATTCTCTGCAGTGACCCTGATTGAGATTAGTGGAACTGGTAACCAATCCATCAAGCTCATAAGAAATTAGTCTTCCTAAAACCTAAAAAGGATGACAATACTAAATATAAATGTTTGCTTATTCGTATCAATTAATGCATTCTGTTACCATAAAAGAATGTCTCCTTATTAAGAGATCACATTGTGCAATGAATTAAATATATAAAATTTGTTTTAGTTTATTATGTTTTTACACCGACACCTTTTCTTTTAAATCTTTGTCTTTTTTTCTTCATAAACTTAAAATGCAGCCTGTTAGTGTACTGATAGATATGCTTACAGCTTAAAGATTTTGAATTGCTGTCAATTTGCAGCTCATATGAGGTCATTATATACTTTAATAAATGGGAAAACCATCAGATCTTCAAGTACTAGGAACAAAGACTGTTGGTTGTAGAACTAAGATGGAGATGTAGGTAACAGTTATGTCTTTGTTAGATATTGGTATGCATTTGCTTTTTTTTTTTTTTTGTTATCTGCAAAAGGACATTTGTTTTAGGCTGGTCAGCACTTGACCAATGTTTAGAAGAAACAATTTTCATTGCTTGCAATGGTCAGCTTATTGTTTTTTTTTTTTTTTAATTAGATAGTTCACTATGACGGTTTTGTTTAAAAAAAAAATATACATTACTTCAAACATTATTTTTACCTGTATTTGAAATAAACACTTTGTTTTTATTTTAAACATTGTGTATTATGTTTCTGTGTGCTTGAGAAATCTTAAAGAAAATGTGGTCTCCAGCAGAGTTTGAACTTGCATCCCCCTTTGTAGGAGAAACAACCATTTTATCTGGCCTGTTTTAGAATGCTCAACCACAAAGAGCATCACAGTCCAACAAATATACATAATTATTAAACTCCACTATATAACAATTTTTGATTAATGTATTTTTAATATGTAAAAAAAAGTAGTATGCATACAACACACCCCCACACATAAAGTCAAGGTACCAAACAGGAAAACTCATCAGAAAATGACTATGAAAATATTTATAGAAAAGGCACAGGGATCTTACATTACTGTGGTGGGAAAGTAATTAAAGACAAGATGCCAGGTCAAGACTGATGACATTGCAGATTCCTCTTTGGATTTTGCTGAGAGTCTCCAAAAACATAGCAGAAGCACCAGATCAGATGTGGCAGCAATATTCAATGTATGAATGAATGGTAGACTCATGAATGTGCAAGTTTTATTATGGCATAAAAAATTGTCTAGCACAACATAGCAAACCAATTTTCCTAGCAGCAAACCTAACAATTGATTCAATGTAATCTTTCTACTTCATGTCATTGAAAAATGTTAATCCCAAAAAGGTGCAATATGTCATTCTCCTGGAAGTTAGTATCAGCCATGCTGATAGAGGACAAAATAGGTTCTCTCAGACAATTAAAAGGGAGCAGTGTCATTTTAGAGGCTTTAAAATTAACAAGTCATTTCTTGCTCTACTTAATAAATTGACCTTATCAAACATATCTGACTTACTAATAAGACAGGAGCAAATAGTTGGGTCATCAGCATAGATACTGAGTTGAAGAGATTATTGATTAAAATCAGGAACAACATATGTCCAAGGATAGAGCTGTGGGGATACCTTCATCAATGCAAAAAAATTTTAAAGAGTGGCCGTTTGAGATTGCTTTCATTTCATGATTTGAAAAAACAGATTGAATTAGATAAAAAATTCATACAGAAATACTAGATTGATAGACTCTTTCAGCAATAATCATTAACACATCAGAGAAGTAAAAACCATATTGCTTATGTGAAAGAAGACCCTGTGGTGTGAGATGCTTAATCAATTCAGAGTTGATTAGAGCCTCTAGTACTGTACAAAACATAGATAGACGGTTAATAGGCCAGTAGTTAGAAAATGGTTTGCCTGAGTTCTTAAAGACTGGAACTACAAAAGATGATTTCCAACAAGCAAGAAAGCAAGAAGAATCAAGATATTTATGGTAGACTTTAGAAAGAATAGGAGTCAGGATAGGAGCACATTTCTTAAAGACTATTGTAGGGATACCATCAAGTTTACATGCTTTGTGTGACTCGAGTTTAGAGATGATAGTAGCAACCATGGACAGAATTATATGAATATCACACAATAGCCTCAGTTCTTTGTGCAAAGTCAGGTAAAGATACTTCAGATGAGTCCAGAATGGAATTGGAAAAAAATTAGCAAACGAAACATTCTGCTTTATCAGCGGAAGATAACATCTCAAACTGAGTGAAAAGGGTAGGGATAGAAGACTTACTCTTATTTAACACAATATTACAGAGCTACCAAACTTGTTAGACTATATGCTGCTTTATTCTGTCAGCAAACAAAGATGGAAAAAGTGATTACTGTAGGCTATGGCGGCTGAACAGACAGGTATGAATCAAGGAGAAGTTTGTGGTTTTAATTTGTATTTACAAGATACAAAAGCATCAATGCCAGTTTTTACACAAGAAACCTCTGTGGCACAATTTAAAATTTCCACTCCAAGGAGCGTTGAAGAAAATCATGAAATGAATCCCAATCAGTATGCTGTTAATAGAAAGTCTTGTGACTAGGAGGTTCATGCCTAATAGATGACACAAAAAGAATATCCACAGATACTACAGCATGATCTGAATATCTAAGAAGACAGTTGTGATGCTTGACAAGAGCCAGGAGGGGAAGTAAGGAACAAATCAAGCAAAGAGGTATGTTGATCAGAATTATTAGTGAAACAAATAGGGAAATCCACTATTTGACTGAGAGACTTAGCATAAAAAAATTGAAAGTCTGAATACTAGCAGCATCAATAACATTATAATGATTAAGCCACTTGACATGAGCATTAAAATCACCAAAACACAAAGATGTTAACAGATGAATGAGGGATATTTCTATACTGTCAAATATTTGTCTAATATGCAAATATATAATATAAATATGTAACAAACTTTCTCTCGAAAGTTTATCTGATAAAACACTATACAAAGGTTGGTGACTATTAAAAAAAAAGTTATTTAAATGCATACACTCAAGTGATAATAAACAAGTTTCTACTACTGATGACACTGATCTGCTATTTTTTTTTTTTTTTTTTTTAGTCATTATATTGGAATAAAAGTGTTATCTCACACTACAATATAATTGTGCTTTATTAACAAATTTGCATTCCACATTTTAAAGTTGTTCTTTGTATCTGAGAATATGAAGAATATTTGAGAAATTACCTTTGGCAAGAAAATTTAATTTTGAACTTTCACCCAAATGCACACTTTCTCTCTCACAATCTGGGTGAGAAAGAAATAGGCCCCTTAAAATATTTCTGTTGACAGTGTCTTTTATATTACCTGTTGTTGCCTTTGCTTTAAGAGCAGCTTTGATTATACTTGTTAATGCTCAGGATTGCTGTGCTGTCAAGATTATTAAAACAAATGCATCTAAATTAACTCAGAATAACTTCTCATGAGTTTTTCAAATTTGGTTGCAAAAATGTATTTCTTTGAAATACACTGGATTATCAATTGTGTTTTTAATCTCATTTGTGTCTCTCTTACTCAAAATATTGCTGCGCAGTGAGAAGTGGAATGATTTTATTTTTTTTAATATTTAATTATCTTGAAAAACTGATGTTGAACATTCAGTTAGTGACTTGTAAATTTTGACTTGTAGTTTAGAATTAATTTTTTAATCTGCTAATTGTCTGGGTTGTTTTAATAAATATTTACAGACATAGCTGTATTACAAAATTAAAACATTCAAGCTTTTAAAACTTTTGCTGAGAGAGAAAAAAAATTTGCAAGTTGAAAATTTTATTTTATTTTTTTCCGAATTAAATGCTATTAACTACCAACATTTTTTCATAAAAATATCTTTGAGTATTTTAATTCTGCTCTCTCTTGGTTTGTTTTATCAAAACACTTAGGAATGTTTGGAAATTTTAAAGTGACCTACTTTGCAATATGACTAAGTTCTAGTTTGAAGTCACTTCATCAATTCTTTTGTTTGATTCTACCTTATTTGCTATTAACAGCAACCTTTATAGAAATGCAAAAAAAAAAAAAACAAAGGTACTTGTGTACAAATTCTTGTGAGGTGAAAATGCATGTGGTAAATTAGAGTTTGAAAAGGTATTAAATTAAAAATATCAAGATAAAGAATGTAGTTTATTTTTCAAAACAAATTTGAGTAAATCTCGGACATTTTATATTCTTGAATAAGTTGTAAAATATGTTTTTGGTTCATATGAAAACTGATTTGGATATTTTTTTAAAGTAGCATAATTTCTTTATTTTTATTTTTTTTAAATAGAAACTAGTCACTTGTGATAATAATTTTATTCAGAAATTTAAGGATTTTTTTTAAAGAGTGATATTTCAGAAAAATGACATAATGTTTACAGTAAAAGATTATGCGGATCTACTAAGCTTATCTTTTTTTGTCTGTGCTTTTCATCTATGGGTGGGTGATTGAGATTTCAATAAAAATGGACAAATTAAATTACAGCCAAACATGATGATTGTAAACTTTAGTCACAGTAGAAAGTCATAGGTTAAAAAAAATTGAAGTTTTTAAAAAATATTATACAAATGAATTTATAATAAATGAAATATTTTCAATAAGTCTTGAAACGGATGGTAAAGAGAAATTCTTGCAAAACAACAACGAAAAAAAAGTACATTTGGATCTTCTAAAATGATGAGTCGAGGAAGGGGTGACCAGGTAACCCTTAGTGGCTGTTATTGTGTCTTTTTGTTTTTGATGAAAATATTAAAATAAAAAAAATAGTATTCTATTTAAGAATAAATTTTGAGTTTTAAGTTGTCACAATAAGTTGTACATGAGAAGTGGCTGTAGATATAGAATAAGTTTTTCCTTTGCTGAGGGTGGGGTGATTAGTATGTTTGAGCTTAAACACAAGAAATTTCCCAGGAGAAAGCTACCTTTAACCCTGACATTTTTTTTTTCTTGAACTGTGCTCTGTAGGAGATTCAAACAAAGACTGCAGTGATTCACACCTTGATCACTGTTCAGTCTCTTCTCCCCTTCCTGACACCTCTTCATTTTTTTTTTCTTCTTCATCCCTTCATTTTCTCCTTTACAATCTACCCCCCCCCGTTATCATTTCTACAACTATCTTTCCCTTCCCAGTCCTCACTAATACCTCCCATTACCACCATTATAATTACTTCTCTTCCCCTTCTTGTCTCACTGAATTTATATCAACCCCCCACCATCCACTTGTATTCTTTTTATTTTTTCTCCTCCTCCTCCACTTGTCTGTACTTTCTATCTTTCTATTCCTTTTATTGTCTTAACTTTTTTTTTTTTTGTGGGATGGAGTGGAAGGCTCCATTACCTTTCCCTTCACCTCTGTAACACCTCTGTATTTTTTTTAAATCACTATCCACCTTCCTTTCTACCATTTCATTTTCTGTACCCAATGTTACTCTTTACCACCCTTTTCCTTCATTCTTTTCCCTTCAATTCTATTTTTTTTTCTCTTGCTTTTCCCTTATCACTGTTTGTTAACCCGTCTTTCCCTTTCACTAAACCACCCACCCCACCTTCAGCTCCACCATTTCAATCCCCCTTACTCTTCAACCCTTGCTATTTCAACCATCATTTTTTTTCTCTGCAGCTTCCCATTCCCTCTTTTCATCTCTATTTTCAACCCAACTGTGATAAGGATCTGAACACACAGTCATCGCCCATTCTCTGGCTTTCCTTCTCCCATTCACAAAACTTAATTATTTATTTTTTATTTTGTGTGTGTGTGTGTGTGTGTGTGTGTGTAAGGTGTTATCATTCTTCAGTCTTCCTTCCTTGGTCCTTCCGGCTTTGATCCTTCTCTCTTCTGTCTTTCCCTTTTTCAAGGTGTTTCTTTTTTAAAGAAACATTTGTGTTGATTGACACAGTATGTAACATTAATTTCTTTAATCAATGTTTAACAAGAAACTAAAATCTTGTTTCAAATAATTTATTTTCATTATTTCAATATATTGTTTCAGGTGTTACAGTTCTTCAGTAATGCCTACATGTCAATCTTCCTCCTTTCATTAAGGATAGAACACCATCTTTCTTTGGTGCTCTAGAACACTATTCTCAGAAAATGCTGATGGGACAACTGCTTTGACCTAGACAGTGGAGGTGAATGTACCCAACAAAATTTACCTGATATTTTACTCTACCCCAATACAAGCCGTTCTCCATTTTGCAAGAAGAGAAGAAATAAATCCCTTTCTTAGTAAGATAAAAAGAATAATAAATAACAATAGAGAAGTTTTGTTTAATTTGGATTATATGCATGTATACTTTATTGATTTGGCTACTCTAGTTGAGATTAAAAAAATCCCTAAATATAGGTACCTCCAAAAAGAAAGAAAAAGTGATGTTTAAGGTTTAAAATACATTTAAAAAATATAAATCTTTCTTGAAGCTTTAAGTTTTAGAAATTTTGCTGAGTCAGCAATTTCTGTTGACGGACATTTCCATTTTTGGACTCATTGATCTCACTTTAAAAACCCTTCTATCTTCTGATCCACCGGCCAGAAATTAATGAAATTTGATACTCTTATAGATTTTTAGTCAAGGAATCCAAATATCCATTTAGAATTTTACAGTAAGTAACCAAAATGTAGATCAAGGGTCGGCAACCTGCGGACCACAGGCCGGATTCGGCCTGCAAGCCTGATTACCAATGACTCTATTTTTAACATGAGAGATGACCTTCAAATGAAATTTGTTATGTCATTTTCCATAGAATGTCTACACATCTCAGTGCACTAAAAATATTACACTATCTGCCAGTTATCTTTCATGAGACTTATTTTACCAAGTTGCGTTGCTTACCTACGTTTAATGTCAAATAATGGATACATATTTGTTATGACCCTTGGCAACATTAAAAGATAACAGAAGCAAAATGAACGATAAAGTGAAAGAGGCCAGGGAGGGACTGACATGTGAGTTAGCAGAAATCTAAAGACAGTTAAACATACGCGCATTATACATACATGCCTCTTGAATTTGTGGATGATACTGTATGTGTACGTACATAAGTGTATCTGTTTGCAACTATTTGTACTCGTATGTATGGGTATATGTGCTTCATTTTTGTTAGTGTGTGTGTGGTTCGTTTGTGGAACAATTTTCAATAACAGATTCAAACCTACACGTCATAATTTCATCCATTTCACTTCGGTTGATTTTTTTCACTTTGAAGTATTTTGACGTTCCTTGAGGAAAAGTCATTTTTGTTAGGTGTTTTTTTATTTTAGATTTTCTTTTGTTTTTCTGACTTCTCAATGTTTATTTTCATTATGGTTTTAAATACTTAGGTTGACAGGGGTCTGCATATGTAATTTTCCTTAATTTTTCATTAATGTCCTTCGTCTGGCCTGCGACTCGTCATTATAACACGATCTGGCCCACGGGGTTGAATGAGTTGCCCATCCCTGATGTTGCTTTTTTTTTTTTTTTTTTTGAGAAAAAATAAATTTTTAGGCAGTTAACCACAAAAATTGAGAAATATCATCTTCAGCCCCTAAAAGTAGCAAGAGGTGTCACAGCATTTGAAAATTGGAGTATTTGGGGAATAAATTCCAATAAGTTTCATTAACTATTCATCAAAGCTATCAATTCTAGACCTCTTAAGTTTTTTCTCATATTCTGATTCATGGAAATTTTACAATTATGATCTTCTAATATTGACTCATTCTGCTAAAGGTGATGAAGTCCATAAGTGACAAAACATTGGGAAAACATTACATAGTATTTGGAGAATTCATTCCCTAAGTTTTAACAGCTATCTCTTATTTAAATTTTTATGGGTGTTTGAATAGGCATTACAAAAATAAAAAAAATGTAAATTATCATTAGCATCCAACTCCTTCAGTTTCCTTACAGACTTTGAATATAAATCTGTGCCACCACTCAAAATTCCAATATCATATGAATCAGTCAAGTCTACACTGAAGATTTAGAAATAAAAAGGCTGAATTTATCAGAATTTTCAGGCATTGGCCTTTGGAAATTTCTCTAACTGCATAAAGTTGAAAGGTAAGTATAATCTAACAATCAAACAATGCTAAGGTAAGCATACATATCTTAAAGGAAAGGTGATATAAATTATATTTAATGTTTCAAAAACAAACATTATGCTTGAATTAGTCTATGCTCTATAATTGGGCCCCGAGTTCTTATATAACACTAGTATTTCTTTAAAAAAAAAAAAATCTCTAAAAGCAAGAAATGCTGTGAAAGACCTTAATACTCTGACCAGAGCAACAAAAGAGGAGTTGAAATATGCTAGGTACCCTGAAAAGGTACAGATTTTAACAACTACATCCAAATCTTGGTCAAAAGAAAAAATTGTTAAATATTTTGAAGTCTCTAATTATTTAGTCTGAAAAGTTTGTGTATTAAGAAATGTTAAGGTCCTGTTTGAACAAAAAAAAAAAATGAGGATTTGTCATTAGAACTAATAGAAACATTAAGTGCAACCAAAAAAATATATATACTTTTACCAAGATTTCTTAAAAAAACAAAAACATTTTAAAAAACAATTTCATTTGTGAATAAGTCCTGAAAGTTTCATTAAAATCTGACAATTATATGATTTTTGTAAAAATCAATGTTTTTCACCACAAAAAAGTTGCTCAAATTTTTCATACAAATTTATAGTCCCCCCCCCATTGACACAAGCAAAACAAGATTTTTAATAAAAAAAAGCATTAAATGTGAACATCATTGTAAAAAAAAATAAAAAAAATCCATCCTTATCCTAAATTTTATTTTGTTTAAAAGAAAATAAAAGCATTTGCCCAAATATAACTTTTCTGTAACACTATAAACTGGTGGATTTGCCAAAAAAATTTCTAATTTTAGCATTACATTTTTTTTTTTCAATTTTGCAAAGAAATAAATGCTAAGTTTTTTAAGTAGTGAGCAACATGGTAAATGGATTTAGTGAAATGGTTTTAAATTCTAGCTGAGATAATTTGTGTTCATTTCATTTTCCTGCCCTTGGAAAAGCATGAAGGACTTTGCATGGTACCCCCTCTTACACACCGATAATCTATCTGGTCACAAGATTTGGTTTTGAATAATTGGAACAAGTGAAGAACTTTTTACTGATATACAAAGAAGCAAATAATTTGTACATGTGTATATGACGGAATTTCTAAAAATGCTGTAAATATTTATTCTATGTGCTTGAGAAAGAGTTTGGATGTTCTACACAGAAGAAAGAGACTTGAAGTTCTTTTTTGATTGTTTTTGTTTTTTTTGTTTTACAAAACCAAGTCTAGAATATATCCAGGAGTATTTAATGACTATTTAGAAGTAACTTCATTGCCTGCTAATTACTGTTTGCCACAAAAATAAATACACTTGGATTTTTTGATTAACAGTGTACAAGCTCTAAATGAAATCATTGGATAGTATTTCATATCTTCAATTGATCACCCGCATTGTTCCATTTAAAATCAATGTTTTAACCATTATCTAAACCTACAATTAAATGAAGAATTTTATTTTGTACCCACCACCTCTTTGACATGATCATGTTGCTGTTTTAACCTCTTGTCTTTTTTAGCATTTGAGTGGGTAAGAAGAGTTACTATCAGTCAGTTCTCATCTCTTCAAGTTCTATGTAGCCACTAATATTTGGTTACATGGTATCAACAATCTAGAAGTCTTAACTTGATTGCAGAACAAGTGTTGAAATATATAATCAGGTGGTTTCAGTTTGAAGATGACATGAGACATTTTGGCTGTAAGCAAATTATTTTTTATTTATCTTGAAACTAGCACTCATTGCAATTGGAGTATTTGTGCATACCTTTTGAAAATCTTTGTTACCATCATTGTATAGATGTGTCCTCATATCTTGCATGTAGAAAATGTAACTTGAATTTATTGTCAAGGTTTAAACTGTTTTTGAGTATATCTACAGTAAGATTTTTTTTCTTTTTCTTTCATTTGTTTTTAAAAAAAGAAAAGAAATTCAGTCAGATTTTCCCCCTTGTTTATTTTAATGATTTCCTAATTATTTAAACTGAGCAGCTAATTAATAAAACCTAAAACCTTCCATACTTCTCCTTTGCACATTTAAAACTTGAATTAACCCTGAAATGAATCAATGGTGACATAATTAACCAATTAAAAAAATCTTCTAATAACATGAGTAAATATTAAACAAACATTTGTTCATAATGACAAAATACATAAACATATACAATTAAGATATTTCTTGTCTGGAAATATTAATTTGCACAAGATAACTTTTTTTGTTTTAAGAAATTGTCAAATTTGTGTTTTCTTAAGGGTTTGTAACTAAAGATTATACAAAAGCCACAGATGATACGGTTTCCCAACAAGTCTTTATTCAACAATGTAAACAATTTGAGGAATAGTTTATTATACATATTAGCTTAATGGACTTGGCATTTTCAGATTATAAATGTTTCGTTTTGGGGGTACCAATGCTATCAGATCTGCTATCTTGTCTATTAGAATATCCCACCAGGTTGCATTCAACATCTTTCTTTCATGATCCCAAATAGTACTAAGTAGGATTACGTTAAGTAATAGGCATGATCATGGGAATTGCTTAATAGTAATTTTTTGTTTTATCTCCCATCAAGTTATTTCTGTTATATGCTATAGAGCTCCATCCTGTATAAAAAGAGGTAAAGAAGTCTGTTTTTATTTGAAAAACTTGATGAATTCTGGAAATAGTTCCTTCTGTATAATCATGGATTTTTCTGAACAGATATTCTTATTTAATCAGCTTAAATTGCTCCCCATAAATAGAAATTCATTATATTTGATTATGAGCTGCAGGTGGTTCAAGCAAATTTCCTGGTCTTGAAAGCCTCAAGACCCAAATTTGTTTGCTGTTCAAAAGTTTTTACAAATGAAGTACCCCCCCACCCCAAGAAAATGATTTTGTGATGTCTTGTCACAAAATCGTTTTCTTTCAAATCAATTACTTCCAACTCTGTCTACCATTTTAGTTGACTAATGTTTAAGTGGCTTCCTTTTGGATACTTTAATATAACCCATAATGGAGATAGTGTACAATTATTCTTGAGTTGGGCACATAATTGCCATATGGATTTGTTTAGCTTAAATAAGATGCATTTTTTTTTTTTTTAATTAGGGAAATAGTACAATCATGTGATTTAGTTGCAAAATGGAATGACCAGGCTATTGGATTCTGGCTAATTCCGCTTGCAGATTAACACTCCCTTTCAAAATTTGACTTTTTTTTGCTGATGGAATATGAGGCATTGGGAATTATTTATGCAGTTATCTATTGCTTTTTCTTTCTTAAGTAATCTAATTGTTAAATGTGAAAGCTGAATAAAATGTTATTTACTGATGCTATATCCTTATGTTTTTCAATTTGGATATATAAAATTTATTCATCTATTAACAAACAGAAAAAAATCAGCAATTCAGTTCTAGCATTTAGTGCATCTTTTAGATTTTAGAGGGGAAATGCCTAATTATTAATAACCTTGATCTAATATTATCTGATGTTAATTTTCTCTAAGGCCATACTTTGTCTCACACAATTCATTAATTTTGTATTGTTTTTAGAGTCTGAAGTGTTTCTTGCCTGTAGGAACTGGGTGTTAAATTCCTAAATAACTTAGGTTGCCAGACATGTCTCTTATCATTTTGTGAGTGTGAAAGAATTGTCAGTGTTAGTAAAAGCATAAAAAGTGTACTGTAACTATTGGGCAATCATAACTTTCTTTAATGATTGAGATTTAAATTTATACTCAGTAGTACTGATGTTATAAACAATAGTAAGCCTATTGTATTTAAAAGTGTTTTTTCCACACATATATATATATATATATATATATATATATATATATATATATATATATGGTTGCCTAGATAAAACTACAATTTTAATCTTTGTAGTTGATCATTTTATATGCAATCAAAACTGCAAAAGAATAAAACCTTGAGCACTTGCTTGATAGTACATTAATGAATATGCTAATTTCCCAAGTCATTACTATTAGCACTATATATAATTAGAATTGAGGTGGGAGATTCCATTTTTGCAATATGGCATCATCTAGAGATTGGCCTATTTTGGTAGACAATCTTTTGAAATTTTTAAGCTAAAGATTTGACAAAACTTTAAAAGCATTTGTTTTTTCTTTTCAGTGATTCTTTCTTGTGACCTCACTTGTACTTGGCTTACTTTTGCTTGCTTTTCACTTTTCTCAAATATTAAAACTTGTCTTATTTTCTTCTGTTTTACTGCAAATCTCTCAGTGATTTTTTTCTCTCTCTATCCTCCATGCAAACAAGCCAATTGAGCTTATTGAATTTTTCCAAAAACTGTTTTTTTTTTCTTGATCAAGTAATTTTAGACTCAAATTCTTATTGCTTACAATGCATTTTCAGAGTTAAACTCTCAAACTTTATAACTTTTTCTTTTAATATTCACTTAAGCTTGTGATTGAATAGGCCCAGTCTTTAATCAACTAACTTCAATTAACTATTATAGAGAGTGCATTCAACAACCAGTAAAATTTGCAAATTTTAAATCATGGAAACATTGCCAAACATTTATCTAGTTGTTTTATTTTTTTTTATTTTATTTTATTTTTTTTTATTTTATTTTATTTTTTTTTTTTTTGATATGGCTGATGCCTTTACAATTTCATTTAAGCAGACATCAGCCAAAATGTTTTTTTGACTAGTTTTTGTTGTGTAAAGGCTGTATATATAATGAAAAATGTTTTCAGGGAAATAATTCTATTCATGTTTTATGGCACTACTACTTGAGAAAAGTTACCAAACAATTTTGTCATTGGATTCTGTTAGTGATAAAAATTTAGTTAAAATCGCTTTTTTTTTTCTTTTTTTTTTTAAATATTGGATTATACAACAATGTATAGCAAACTTGACTTCAGTCTTGTGTTGAAAAAATTGATCTTGCTCTTGATTTCTTTGATCACGTCAGTGTTTTTAATCATATTTTTCTTTATTAAAAAAATAAAGATGTAAAAAAAGTCTTTCTTTTTTTTGTTTCAGTCCTGATTTCTTTACATGTGTATGTGTGTGTTAAAAAAAAACAAATTCATATGCATCAAGACTTGTTGAATTCTTAAAATTTAATAAAAGTCAAAATTAAATTAAATAAAACTTTCCTTCCACCCATTCTGATTGTTGACTCTCTGACAAAAGTCTTGAGTTCTCCATTGTGAAGAAAACATTAGCAACAAAGATCAAGGTAATTAAATTTTTAGCAGCAAAAATGAAAAGCCTCATTAATATGCAAATATCACTTTGTCTGTGTCAAATGACTTCAATCCACTGTCATTTGTTTGTTGCTTGATATTGATATCACTTATTGATTTTAAAAAAATCCTATTCAGACAAGATTTTCACTTGATGGAATTTATTTTGAATGATCTTGCTGTTAGCATCTCTTCTTTATGGTCCTTCTCTTTAGTCTTGTTTAAAGAAAGGGAATCATTTGCTGATGGCAATCTTAGAAGTGTCATCAGTTTCTATTGGAATTGAACCTCTAGTAGGATTTTCAAATTTATGGATATAACTCCAAAATAATTCACTTATCAGTTGAAGTGAATTATAGAAAAAGCTATAAAAGCTGAAAGCTACAGAATTGGGCTTTGATTCTTCCTTTGATATTTTGTTTAAATATTGAACAGCAAACTTTCTTCTTGGGAGAGGCTAAAGATAGTTAACAATGAATTTGTTCAGACCTGGATCTAGTCTAATGTTTGAAATTACCAGAATGGAAATAGGAAGGGCAAATGTATGCAAGGAAAGAAAGATGTCCTTGATAGTCTCAGTAGGCATGAAACTGTAATTTTTACCTTGAGGTCAGAAATGACATGATTGATGCTGATTGGTTAACACATTCAGGTTTACTCATCTAGATATTCAATCAAAATATGAGAATCAAATTTAATATCAGAATTCTTTCGGAAAAGCAAATTTGTTACTTGCATTACATTAACCCTCTATGAAGCCAATCTTGGTATTGGTGGCTTTTGTTAAATAAAAGTTCTGGAACTCGTTATTCCATCTGTACTTTACCAAACAGGACTTTGTTTGGTTAGCTGAATTCTTAATATAGAAAAGAAAATCTGCCAAAGATGCTACTAATGTGTGAATTGTACAGATTTAAACTGTACAAATGTGAATTGTAAGGTTTGAAAAACTTTTCTCAGAATATTGACTTGTACTGAAATGTGAGCCAGTCAAGAAATAAGAAAATGTTAATCTTTATGTAAATTTGATCTGAAGACACTTATTTATTTGATGTTGTGGCATCATTAAATAAAATGAACAAATATGATAACGTATTAGTGTAGCAATTGTGTTCTAATGAAAGAATTTGTTATATCAGTTGGTTAAAACATTGTTTATATAATGAAGTATTGTTTGAGATATACCAAGTCTGATTGAAAAGTATCAGGACTAGTGTTATAAAAAGAAAACTACATCTCAACTCGGCATTTAATCTCCTTCATAGTAGCCCCCTTTCTGAAGCCATAAACTTTATCCAGCATCATTTTCATTGATGGAAGCATTCCTGGAACTCCTTTTTTGGGATATTGAGCAACTGCCTTGTCACATTCTCGTAGGTTTTCTTGACATCTTGAATCTTGTTATGGGATTTTATCTTGTAGAGGAAAAATTCATAAGGGATAAGATCTAAAGAATATGGTGGTTGTCAGACTGGGGGGAATGTTGGGCTTAGCCAAAACTACTTTAAAAGTCATGGTAACTGATGGAACCATACTCTACACACTTTCCTTCACAGCACTGCTATAAGCAACAGAAGTGAGTGAGAACTTTATAACTTAGTGTGCATGTGTTTCACAGTTCAAGGTCAATTTGTGCTAAGCAGCTTCATTCTGCATACTTTAGCTCCATTATCATAGCAACAGTTCTGATATTTTTTATCAGACCTCATACATACACTTTTTGTCTATTTTACGAAAGATTATTTCAGTATTTATTTTGTGTATTGCTAAATTGAGCAAAATGGACTCATGAGAACCAATGATTGAATGTTGATATGTATTGTTAAAATTATATAGATACTGTTTGTTGGCATGGTCTATAGTTGCTGAATCATGTCTCGTATTGTTTGTAATAAAAATGTTCATTTCTCTTTGCAGCTTTTTATATGGCTCTTTTAACTGTGCTCGGATTTGAGCTTGCCCTGGAGAGAAAAATATTTCCTTTTTTTTTTATTTCTAAGTTTGTGTGTTTAATAGCATTTATTAAAAATGACTGCATTAAGATAGGTAAAACTTGAAGCTTTGCAAATATTTGCGTATTATTTGATTGAGGTTATGGCTGAGATTTTTGTTAAAACACTAATCCCATAAAAGGAAGAAAAAAAAAGTTCTATTTTCATGTCATCAGTGATGTAGTGGAAATGAAGTTTTGAAATTCTGCAGACAATGAAAATGTTGAGTTTAAAAATAATCAAAAATGATTATTAATTTTTACCTTAAAAACATTAAAATATTTTATTGGCAAATAAAGTAGTTTGCTCTATGAATTGAGACTTTGATCTTTTTCATGAATAACTTGTGAATTTTTAGCCAATGGGGAGAGGTTTGTACCTCATATCATTTAATGATGGTAATTTTTGTATGATCCTTTCACTATTTGTGTATGAAATTTTTATTTTTTCATTTATATTTTCTCAATTTAGAATTGCTGAGTAATATAATCAAAACTTTGAAATCACAGTCTCATTTATCAGAAACTGTCTTATAACTTTCACCAGTTGTTGCATAGAACATCACTTTTGACTCACTCTGCAATGTTTATTTACAAGATTATAAAACCAGGTTCAATATTATATTTATTGTTTACCAGTTTATAAAGAAATAAATTTGTAAAGAAATCTTTTTATCCAAAAATTTATAAAAACCTATAAAATTTTCAACAAATCATGTTCTTTGGTATGGTTGAAAAAACATGGGTGAATTGACAATCAATTTGAACTTTATAAAATGGTAAATAATAATGTTTTCAGTACAGTTGGTTCACATATTTTTATGATTTAGTAAATTTTCATATTTGTTTCTTTATAAATTTGTAAATGATAGTTGGTTTAATATTTTTGTTGTAAATTTTCAAAGAACAAAGAAAACTTTCATATGTTTGGTTTTTATTAAAATTCTAATCACTTTTTAAAACAATTAACATTTCCAAGGGAGTGATGGTAGTATAAAATAACAGCAGTATCAATGGAAAAAAACATCCTTTTGACATACCATTTAATTGTGAGCATGAAGCTTAATGTTTTCCAATTTATTTTTTTCATGTTAATACAAAAATATTACTGTCCTACTTAAGGTAATGGAAAAATCTGAAAAACTGCTCTCTGGACTTTCTATTCTCAATATAATGATGAGGTACTAAGTGGATCTCCAGTGCTCAGGCTACTAGTGATAAGTATGAAACTTTTGTTTTGTCTAGTCATGGAAATATATGCAAATTATCACTCTGATACCATTCTTAATAATTCTATCATATTGGCTTTTGTTGAAAAGTAAAATCTTCCTTTATTAAGGTCAGTTGAAATCTTTTCTATATTCAACAAATTATTGCAATTATCTGAGAAATAAACTAATCAAATACAATGGTTGAGACAATTTTGATTTTAAAGATCCTTGCTACCTATTTAAAGACTGTAATAAATTTCTTGGAGACTTCTGTTGGCTGTGCATAGCATACTGTTTATTGATGTTTTTTTTCTGTCAGGCTTATCTCAGAGGATTAGAGAAGAGATCTCTATTACAACTTCTAAGATTTTTCTTCTAGCATTGCATTTGTTAAATGGTCTCCCCTTAGATTAGGATTCCTCATTCAACAATTTCAGAAATCTGTATTTAATTCTATGAAAAGGTTTTTTTTAGTGTGTGTGTGTTTTCCCTAAGTGATTTAAAATACATTTTCTTGAAATATTTTAAAAATTTATTACTTTTAGTTTTTTTCCTAAATTTAGGAATATAGTCTTTTTTTAAAAAAACATTTTTTTTTCAGTGTTTGAAAATAGAATGTTTTTAATTTTCAGAAAATGTTACTTTTTTTTTTAATTGTTGAAAATACTTTTTATTTTTAAAAGAATTTTTTTAAAGATATTATTAATAGTTAAAATATTTCTTTCTCAAAATTTTACAAAATTATATAAATATTTGAAGTAAAAATAAAAAGCATTATAATTTCTCTTGCATTTATTGCACACATTTCCTGCCATCTTGTGTGTGCACACATTTTTTACTTATTGTACCATCTCCTGTAACATTTATCATCT